GCTAAAGCGTTTATGCACGGAGTTCCTTCGCCGAATTCCTTGATTCCTTGTGATACATGCGCTGACTCCCTCCGAGCCCGCGTCCGCGTCCCCGCCGTCGTCGTCAGCGTCGTCTTGCGCTTCCTCCCTGAGAAAACAATTACTCGACTCGGATATCCCCATATGTGAATGTCACATTCTTGCCATGTTTCGCCGAGGAGCTCTGTCTATGCAAATCTGGGTGTGAGAACGAGCTCGCGTAGAGGGCAGTCGCTGCAACGACGACCACGCCGCCGACGACGACGACGCTGTCCTCAACTGCATGTCATTGCCCCTGCTTGAGCAACTTCCCATGTGCGTCGGTTTCCTCTCTGGCCCTCCGCCCGGCCGCAGCACGGTTTGCTGGGCCACCGTTCCAAAGTGCTCGCCCACAAACAAGATGGCCTCGCTTATCGGGGTGGTTACTATGGGGGTGGATGTTTTGCCTTCTATTTACCTCTCATTGCTCAGCAGCGGGGATTCTTCAGCGGGTCACTCGGTGTGCCGCTCGCGCACAGGCGCTTCAGATTGCTGGTAGGCATTGCTAGGGCGTCTTGCGGGTGAGTTCTGTCCGCGGACAGCATAGATTTTGTTGACTGTTTGGCTCTCGGGTTGGCCGACACGGACCGAGGTGAGCCTATCACGGCCCCAAGAGAAATCATGGGCGGTTTTCAAGCCCGCCCAGTCGCCCTGGGGGTGGTTCGACCGCGTTGTTTCGGGAGATCTCGGTAGAACTACCACGCCTAAGGCTGCTTCATTATCCCCCACATGCGTTCAACAGTCACGCCAAGACAAAGCAGAGACCATCGTGGCGGGGCTTGCCGCATGCACCAGGAAGGGAAGGATGGCCTCCGAGGCAAGGCGGGAGGAAGGGAGGATCGCAGGGAACGAAAGAGGTGGGAGGAGCAGGAGGAGGAAAGAGAGGAGGATAGGGAATGGGAGGGCCTCGAGGGAGGAGGAGGATACAAGGCTCTGGTCGGTTGGGGCCCATCGCATGGCATCGGAGACACGAAGGAAGGGGCACATTAGCACACTGAGCACATTACTCGAAGGTTTGTTGCTTACCGGTACTGGTAGAAGTCTGACTCACAATAATGGTTGAGATGTTGTTAGAAATAGACTGCGGCCATAGTTTGCTAGAACCCAAGAGCGCGCAAAGCGCATGCGTGGTCCAGTGTGTACCTACATATTCTCACTCGCACTCGCTCCGAATCCTACTTCGCTCCTCATATCTATGCTCTCCTTGCCCTCGTGTCGGGTTGTTCGACAGCGGGGGTTATTCAGCAAATCACTCGTTATGCCTCTCGCACACGGGCGTTTCAGGTTTCTCAGCGACTTGCATGCGAGATCTGCTTGCGAGCAGCTCGGCGCTATATATCCAGTGGATAGTATAGTCTTTCCTGATCCTCCCTCTTCACCACCGTTCCTTGTTATCCTCTATCATAGGTTACCTGCCTCTTCTTATTATGCCATAGGGACAGAGATCATTCAGCGCCAGACGGTTTGCCACTCACACTAGGGCAGGTCAGGTTGACAGACTGATTTACAGGTGACATCCGCTTGCGGCCAGTTGAGCAATGCATATCCATCTATATTCAGGGGCTGGTCGTGTATGATCCTCCCTCCTCCGCTCACTTCCTATCAATACTCTCTGTCCCGCTCGCTACGCGCCCTGTTCACAATGCTCACTGTTGATGTTGTACGCAAGTCTAGACTATACCAACCTCTTTCTTGAAACCACGGGCGCGCGAAGCGCATGTGTTTTCCCAGTGCGTGTGTGTGCACGCATGCACACTTGCACGGCACGATCTGCCTGCGGGCCAGCGAACATCATCCGGCACTCGACCCTTGTCGGTCGCCAGAGTCGTGGGTTCGTCTTCGTGCACGAGAACTGGGCTAGACCCGGCAGGAGGAGGGGGAGATCCACGGATGAGGGCCAGGAAACGTTGGCAGTCAGATTCCAGGACGCGCACTAGAATATACCACAAGGCATGCTGTGGAGGGACCACTCTCCTAGCACCGTTGCCCCAGCTCGACGGGCAGAACGCACAGGGCACAGGCCGTTGCAGGAGAGAAATACGATCTCCGAGAACGCAGCCTCGCGGCACGGTGGCATACACATGTAGATGGCTTAGATCGGCGGCAAGCCCAGGGGGGAGTGAAAGGGGGCGGGCCTACTCAGAAGGTTCGGTTGGCCGCCGGCCTTCTACGAAGTTTTCGAGGCCCTCCCCGAAGACACAGGAAGTGCCCCAGAAGGTGCGAGGGCCTCTGAGAGGCCCCGCCGCCCTCTGAGAATGCCTTCGCCCTCTCGCTTCCCCCGCAGGCTGGGAGTGTGAGAGAGGTTCTGGCCACAGCGGTGCCTTGCGATATCCGCCATGGCGATCGGTTGCCCAGAAGGCCTGACGGTCGCCGACTGCTGCACCGAAACTCAGACATGTTGTCGGCAAGACTACCATGAACACACGTCCGATGTTGCGCTGGGGCTGTTCTGTTTTGCTCACTCAGATAATAGGGGATCTACGTGTCGACACTCATGGGCTCGCATACAGTCAGGTAGCGACATCCTGGCGACGCTCATGCCCCGTACGCGTCCACCTATCGACGTCTGGACGCCTGGGATCCCTACGTGTTGTGCATTATTTTCGGTCACAGACAGAGCTTGGAGCAGTGAGCAGTGACCAGCAACATCATACGAATACTAGCACTGATACGGAACCTGCTTCTTTAAAGTGAAGTGCGCCTATCGAAGTGTTTCTTCGACCCCTGGCAAAAGGAAGAGGCCGTGGAGGCACACTACATGGGTCTCGCGAAGGACACCTGGTGCAAGACCAGGAGGCTGAGGGGAGGCTGTATGTTCAGGGAGACAGGCCAAAGGAGGGCAGAAGGGGCAAGCCAAGATGCGAGGGAGGGGGGGGGAGCCAGCAACTTTGCACTTGCTCACGGCCATGGTCATTCCTGCCGCCAGGAGGAGAGGGCATTCCCTGGCGCCGGGTCGCTGAGCTTGCGGCTGCCAGCTGGGGTTGCGAGGGACAGCGGGCGCCGCTCTGCATCCGGCAGCCCCGCGCAGGCGGCAGCGCGGCCGAGGAAGCAAAGCGAGGAGGGCGGAGCCGGAGAACGACGACGATGCACGAGTAGAGGTTGGAGTCTCAGTGCGAGTTGGAGTCGTGATGGACGGGTCGAGAGTCAGGCAGTCAAGCAGCGAGCCCCGCCCATGCCCACCCTCCCTCCCAGAACATCGGAACGTATAGGCAAGCATTGACTGTTTGCAGAGCGTCTGGCCGCCTTGATGTGCCACTTCGCACACAGCGACGAGGGGCGCGGTTTCCCGAGGTGGGAAGGAAGACGGCCGCCACATAGCAAGTGCAAAACCTATGCCGACGTACCAGTTCCGGTATTGAGGCATCGTGGCGCTCACCGCATGAAATTCACGGTGGACGCCCGCGATGCCGAGGGAAGACTCGACCTCTCTCGTTTTTGAGGTTAGTATGCGAAACGGTGACGGGCGTCACCGCGCCCAAATTTTTGTGAAGTGCCGTTCGTGTGCCGCTCTGTACACATAACATGTTGTCGCGACGTGAGCACGGTTTTCACCGCGCACGTGCACTTCGATGCCAAAGCGAGAGTTCGTGTGTTTCGCGATGGTGTCCCCAGTGAGATCGGCAACGGGGCAACAGGCATGCCCCGCGCGCACGCAGGAACGCGCGGTACAGAGTCCCTGCTCGCTGCATGGGCGAGCGAGAGCAAAACCTCAAAACCTCGCTGTCTTCTCCGGTGGACTCGGCGGGCGAATTCTACACGCTCGGGAGCGCAGAAGGGAGCATCGAGGACGCGCCGCCGCTGGGAGCCCACCAGCGTGCCACTCTGTCGTGCTTGTCCGAAGGCACGGTGCCTCTTCAGTAGTAAACGCGCTGACGGGATCTGCGCGGCGGCGTGTCGCTGATGTTGTTTTCGTTCCCCAAAGCACGCGCCGTTCCCAAGCGGTGTCACAGCGTTCAGAGCAGAGAGAGGTGCGCGGCGCAGAGGGGAGAGTACCATTCCGACCCCTCGCGGTTCGTTTTTTTTCTCCTCAGCTGTTTCGCGATATAGAACACCATGCGATCATGCCGAACGGTGAACTGCTGCTTGTACGTCGCGAGGATCACGCAAGTTCAGCACGCTTTGTACTTTACTACACGGGCCAAGTTTCGTGGCTTGGCTCGCCTAGTGCAGGCTCGAGTTTACTTGGTTCTGCGTTTGCTTGGTGCATCGTCGCGTCACCTTTATTTCATCGTGTGATGGAAGAGACAAGAGGATTGCGAAACCCCTCCGGCCCCCCAAAAGAAACATGGGCAGGAGGCGGAGGACGACGACGACGACGACAAGCAGGAGGACAAGGACGACGACGACGACTACGAGCGGGAAGAGGAGGAAGGAGGAGGAGGAGAAGGGACTCTTGAGATAGGGGGTAGTTCATCTTTCGATGTTTCCTGTGCGCCTTGTTGCGAAAATGATTTGGTTTAGCCGCGCGACGGAACCTGTGTAGATGCCAGCACGCGGGAGAGGATGTCTCAGGCGAAACCATGGCGTCTGCGCTCGGCGCATGGACGAAAAAACGCAAGGGGCAGCCGACGGAAATCGCGGGAAACCCAAGACACCTAGTAGGAGACCGCCAAGACCCGTTCCAAAAACAATTTCTTGTGGAGGAAGTTCCAGCGCAAGACTTCATTTTGGGCAATACCCTGGGGTCAAGCTTCAGGAGGGGAAGAAACACACAGACACAATGGATCGTCGATTCCCAAGAAAACATGGGAAAACATGGGCAGTGGGGGGGAAGACAGAAACACAGAAAATATGGGAAAATATGGGGAATCTGTTGATTTGTATGTATTTATTTCTGTGTCCCAGGGCCCCTTTGCACCATCACATTTACACGTGGAATGCCCGCCGTCCCGCCCAGGAGGCAGTGGGCCCCCGCCCGCCAGGCCCGCGCGGAGTATCGGGGTTCTCGGGTGGCGGCTCGCCCGCCTCGCCCCGGCACCCCTCACCGCAGGGACCGCCCTCGCCGCCCGCATTGCTGTCGCTACCGTCGCGCTCGCCCTCCACCTGGCCGCTATGATCGCCATCGCCGCGATCACCGCCGGGGGCGTTCGACGTCGTCGAGCGTGCTCGAGCCAGAAGCTTGCCCGCCCAGGCCAGAATAGCACAGGTCACCCATCCCCAGGTGTGTTCGCGTATCTGGCGGAGGGCCGAACGAAAATCGTGGGCAGAAGCCGTCCCCTGTCTGTCGGGGCCTGGCTGGTGCCTGTGCGGGGCCCTCTTGGGTTCTCTCTGGGCCCTCTTGGGGGCTCTTAGAGTTCTCTGTTCGTCATTTCGCGATGTCTGGGGCGTCGAGACCGTCTGGGAGCGTTATCGTGCAGTCTTGGAGCTATCCTGGCGCTATCTTGGAGAGTAGTTGGGGCCTCCTGGGTAATGTTGGTGCGACATCCCACTAACGCCGCGAATTCTGCAACACCGTCGAATAAACATCCCACCTGACAGGGACAGCGTCGACCTTGGTCCAATACGAGAGCGCTGGAAACACTTTTGTCGCCGGCGGCCAGGCAGGGGTCGTCTGCGCTGGCGAGGTGGGCTAAACTGGGGCGCCGCTGAAGCGAATTCAGCCGCCATGCAGGAGAGGGAAAATAGGGGAACGAAGAATGACATAAACATAACAGCTCGGAGGTCCGCGCGGATTTCTCGGATCCGCGCTGGAGCCCCCTGGCGGCGCCTCCGGCGCCGCCCTTGGCGCGCTCCGCGCGCCAGGGAGGGGGGTCCAGCGCGGATCCGAGAAATCCGCGCGGACTTCCGAGTTGTTATGTTTATGCCACTACTTGTTCGCCTAGAAAAGGCAAAGGAGGGGGCGGCCGCAGCGGGGGAGGGGCGAGGGCCACTCGGGGGGGGGGCGGACGGGTCTTGTCCTTGGGGGCGCTGGCGCGGCCGGCCCCGCCGGCGGGGACTGCAGCCGCAGCAGCGGGCCGCTGCGCCGGGACGCCTGCGGAGGCGGGACCCCTGCGCGGATACTCAGTGAGCAGACGAGCAGCAGGTCGCCGACGTAGCGCACGAGGTGCGAGGCCGGCGGGTCCCGCGCCGCCCAGGGTGGGGGCGCGGGACCGGGTGCGGCAACCCCGCGATGGGAACACGTGTGTGGGGCCGTGGTGGTTCGGGTAGCGGGAGTGGGTCGTGGGGGCGGGGGGCGGGGTTCCAGTTGACCTGGTCTAGCGAGCCAGAGGGCCCCCCCATCCCCACCCCCCCTCGCATAACTCAAGACACAATTGTGGCACGGCTGATGTTGGGAGTGGAACGCGTTCCCACTTGGCGGATGGAAGGCGCTCGCACGCGGCCCCACGCCCGACGATGTGGCGAAGGGAAGATTGCGCGGGCCACGCAGGGGCGGAAACGGCAGGCCTTCCGAAGAGCGCGGCGCGCGCCCCCGCTTCTGACCCTCGGCGAAGAGAAAATTGCTCAGGCCGCGCGGGGGCGGGACTGGCGAGACTTCCGACGAGCGCGGCGAAGGCGAAGCGTGCGCCGCGCCGACAGGGCACGAGGTCGGAATTCCCTCCGCTCTCGCTTGGTCCCGCTGCCGTTCGCTGTCATGCGATTCGGCGAACGGGCCGTGCGCCGCGCCCGCGCGGTAACGCCACTTCAGAGCGAAATGCGCCCGCTCAGGCGTCGACGACATGGCATGGGAAAAGTCTTCGCCGCGCCCCAGCGGGCTCTCAATCGTCTGGAAAAGTTAGCGCGGAGCCTAGACAACAGCGGCATGTCGGCCTTGGGCGTGAGATGCGCGCTGGAGAATCAGTAGTAGAAGTGGTCGTGGTGGTGGGAACTGGGGGGTGGGAGTGCAAATTGGTAGCGGATACTCATAGGACGCGGTTGACGGTTCCGGGTTGGCTTGGAGGTATGAGGCCAAAGTTCGATCATGTTGCATGTCGTAGGTTAAAACAGGCGCAGGAGTAGGGGGAGCAGGAGCAGGACAAGGATCAAACCAGCCAGCTCGAACGAGCCAGCGGGCCCAGCCCACCCCCAGCCCGCCGCCCCGCAACCGCAACGTAAGAACCAGTGCCAGCGCAACTGGACGTTTCAGGATGGGAAAAAGCACACAGACACAATGAATCGTCGACTCCCAGGAAAATATGGGAGAATCTGGGAAGTGGGGGGTGGGGAAGACAAAACCCCATAAAACAATTGAAAAGATGGGGAATCCTGAGCTTTGTGTGTATTTATTCGTGGGTCCCTGGGCCCCCTTAATATTGGGACTGGCGCGCGCTCGCGCCTGGCGAACAGGAGGCGCTCGTCCGCGCGCGGGCCCCGCTTCCGACGGCATGGAGGAGGAAGCCCTGGGCCGCGCACAGGCAGAAGCTGCATTCTTGTACAGCCTTGCGGGGTGTTGCGGCGCCAGCACCCTCGAGCTCCCTCCACGCAGACCGGGTTTCGACAGGACCGGCGGGGGAAGGAGCCTGCGCCGCGCCCAAGCGGGGGCGCAACCTTCCAGCGGAGACCGCGGAAGCGAGGAAGGTGTTTCGCTCTGTCGCCCTCGGCCCCGCGTCCGACAAAAATGGCGAGCGAAATGTGCGCGCCGCGGGCAAGCGGGAGTGCAACTTCCAGAACAGCTATGACGGCATTCAGGCGAGAGCGAGATTTTGACATTTCGCTCGCGAAGTGCGCCGCGTGCCATATCGTGGGCGCGCATTCTCTAACGTCGACGACAACGCGGCACTTCTGAGCTGCAAGACGAATATTTTATTTTGTTAGTGGCGTGCCACCGTTCGGCTAGACACGTAGGATGGACCCCCCTTGGATGGGCGTGCTATCGGCCGGCTAGGTGGTATAGTGGGAGTATGCAGTAACATCGTGTTGCGATGGAAGGTCGCCGAGTTACAAAATTTGACCAGGTTGTTGCAGCGTATGTCAGCGTATGTGGGCGCACGTCGTTCGATAGCGAGTCGCCTCCTGAAGAGCGCTGAGCACGGTACAATGTGATACGAGAAACGTTGGCCGCGGGGAATTCCCTCTCAATGGGATGCCGGGTACAAAACGGCAACCCGCGCGGAAGATTTGCAACAGTTCATGCATCCCAGGGACAACAAAGGCACAAGCAGTTAAAGTTCAGTGCTAACAACAGCAAAACGAGCTGTTCGCGCAGGATTGCCCCAGGAAAGCGATTTGCGCCCAGTCGCAAACAAGGCGCAAACTGGGACAAAAGGCGAATCGAGTTGGATTCCCCTTCAAACCTGATGTTCGCCTGGGTTCAAACGGGATGCAGTCAACAGCGACGTTAAGATTGGACCCTTGTCGCAAGGGCACCCTGCATCCTTCGGTTCTGGCAACCCTTAGCACGTTGGGTGCGCGCATCCTTGGTTTTCGCGCCGTTCCAAGGACGCTGCATCCTTAAATTCAATATTTCTCGTTGGTTTTGACCGTATCGGCAGGTTGCAGTTGAGGAGTCCCGCGGGGCTTCCTTACAGAAGTGCTGTGACGAGCGACTGGACTATAATATGTATCCTCATCATGGCTGCGGCAGCTCATTATTTTGCCCAGCTGTCCTATAGGGCCCGGAGCTTTACATTTGGATGGTAGTGGTCGATGGTCGTGGTCGTGATCATTGTTGTTCGTCCCCTCTTCCCTGGCATACACCTTGTTCTTTCCACAGTCCCCATCGCTCCTTCTGGCCCCGGAGCCTTTTTCTCGTGTAGGTGGTCGTCGTTCGCCCCCCCCTTCCATGACGTACCCTTGGCGTTACCCAAACGTATTCATACTATGCGCGTGGCCCCCTTAGGGGCGACGCGCGCGCGCCCAGAAATCTCATAGTATATGCTCCGTGGCGGACGCTTGCTGGCCATATCGCTCGGGAGATAACATATAATAATTTGTGTGGATGATATGTTCGGTTCGGAGGTGCGCATCCGAGGATGGCACATAGTACCAGGATGTCCTGCTGCGTCCCATGCCCCTGGCCCTGATCCCAGCTCGGGCAAGCGGGGAGCATAGAGTCAACTCGCGGACGTCGTACCGAAGAACGCCCAGATTTCCTAATGTTGGCGACATGTGTCCTGTCACGTAAGAAATAAGGATCAGATATTCAAGGTAGGTCGGTGTCCGTCGTCTTGGCAGGAGACCTCGCAACCTCGCCCTGATGACCTTCTCGCCTTGATGGCGATGACGACTTCGGTGCTGTATGATGACGGCGGCGGCGATGGTGATGACGACGGCGAAGACGGAGAGGATGATGATGGTGATGACGATGATGGTGACGATGACGACGAGAATGATGATATCAATCATAATGATGACGTTGGTGACGATGATCGGCCCCCGGACCCCTCCACGGAGCTGTCCTGGCCATGTTTACCGGTGCGGTCGGTTCTTGACGGCCCCTAGGCATTGGAGGCCGACATCGAGAACAGACGCTTGGCCAGATTTTACTCGAACCTCCTCCTCACCATCCGGTGATGATGAGGATGGTCCCCGATGGAAATGCGGAGGCCACCCGCGTCAGAATAAGACTCTCCGCGACCCGATGCGGCCCGATTCTCGCACTGTGCTGTTGTGCACCCTGGCGCGGCCGATCCGATTCGATGCCGAGTCCGTACCGATGCACCACGATTCGACGCGCGCTCTGGTCCGATCCGACTTGCCCGTTGGACGCTGACCTCCGCCCCAATGTGTGTATGGATATATATATATATAGAAGTATGAGTACGATATGTTTTACATATGTATCTATATAAATAATGAGGTCAAGAAATACATTGCAGGAATCAATACATCAATCGATAGATAACTGCATACATGCATCAACATATCATTATATATACACATATATATATACACACATAAATCTGCAGCTTCCTGCGGCAAGTCCCGCCACCGTGCCAGCCCAGCATGCTCGGCGGCCCTCCTTCGAGGGGATACCGAAGGAGCGTAGTGGATGTTCGTTGGGATCTCGTGGGAGGCCCCTCGAGGGCCTCTTGGAGACAGTTTTGAGGCCTCTTGGGGGGCCGTTTTGGGGACTCTTGAGGGCCTCTTGAGGGCCTCTTGGGGCCCTCTTTGGGTCTCTTGGGCGCCTCTTGGGGCCTCCTGGGTGCCACTTCGTGCCCCTTGGGGCGGAAGGCTCGAATTTTCAGTTAGTGCTTCCTCTTTGGGGCCCCTTTTGGTGCTGTCTTGGTGCCCTCTTTGGCTTTCTGGGGCGCCTCTTGGGCCGTCGTGGGGCGCTCGGCCGTCTTGGGGCCATGTTGGCGGCCTCTTGGGCCGATTTGGGTGGTCTTAGGGGCCTTTTGGGCCTTCTCGGAGCGTCGGAAAGCCGAAATGGCGAGAACGCCAAAATCCTGTGAACACGTAGGGAACATCAATCGTGTTTGCGTTTGGGACCCTCTTGGGAGACCTCTTGGAGGCCTCTTGTGGCGCCTTGAAAGCCTTTTGCGCCATCTTGAGGCCATTTTGGGCGTCTTCGAGCGATCGTTCGGCGACTCGAGGCCCTCTTGGACCATCTTGGGGGCCTCCTGGGCCGTCGTGGAAGCCTTGGAGAGCCCCAGGGAGGCGCCATGCGGGAGCATGGGCGATACGTGCAACACTACGCGGCCCAGACGGGGAGGCCCCTTAGAAGATTATACAAACCGTACCATACAGCACTTGACAATCTAGCATGCCTCAACGTGCCAAGGGGCACGGTGGCGGATACAGATATATGTGTATATATATATATATATGCATGATGTGTGTATGGAGACGCTGTGGGCGTCTTCGGCAACTGCCACCTGCAGCTGAGCTGGGAGGCTGGTAAGACGGATGCCGTGGTGAAGTTCCGGGGCCATGGCGCGGCTTTCGCCCGCGAGATTTTCCGCCTCCCAGACGGCCAGTTGGGGATGCCGCTCGCGAAGTTCGGACACCTGGTCGTCCTCCGTTTCGTTCGCGAGTACAAGCACCTAGGCTTGTACATCGACCACGAGGACATGGCGGCCACCGACATATCTGCCCACGCCCGCAACGCTTTGGCTGCGTACGCTCCTCTTGCATGCAAGTTCTTCGGCTCGAGCCTTGCGGATCAGGCGCATCGCCTGCTGTTCTTCAGGACGCTCGTGGTGTCGAGGTTGCTGCGCAACATGTACATTTTCGTGCTGTCTCCTCGAGCTGTCCGGAAGCTGGATGGCGTGTGGATGCGAGGCCTGCGTCGCATCGCAGGCCAGATGCGTTTCTCGAGCGATGTGGAGGCATCTGATCTGAGCGTCCGCTTCTCCCTTGCCATGCCGTCGATGGACTGCTTGTTGATCTTAGCTAGACTGCAGCATCTTGGCCGCGTTGGGCGCGAGCGCCCTCGTTCTTTAATCGCTGCATTGCACGCTCGCCCGCGCGGCCAGCCGACACCTTGGGTGGCGGCCGTGCGGCGCGACGTCACCATGCTCAAGGCCTTCGGATTTGTCTCCGACCTCCTCCTTGACATCGGCGCTGGAGCCGAGGAGTGTGTCGCCACGATGGCCCACGAGCCGGCGTGGAAGCGAGAGGTTGACCGTGTCTGTTTTTCGGAGTCGTCGTGCGACCGCGTCCCCGCCGCCGCGGGGGAGCGGCGCGTCTCGAGCTCTGTCCTTTCGTTGCCCATCTTTCAGGAGGGAAAAACACACAGACACAAGTAATCGTCGATCCGCAAGAAACGATGGGAAAATAGCGGAAGTGGGGGGGAAGACAAAAACCCAGAAAATATAGGAAAACGTTGGGAATCTTGCTATTTGTGTGTATTTACTTTTGTGTTTGTGGGCCCTTCAATCTTGCCCGTGCGCCTTTGCCTCGCAGGGAGCGCTGGATTCGCACGTGAAAGCAAAGCACGGCGGCCGATCTCCTCACGGGGAGCGGGTGCGATCCTCTGCGTGCCCGTGCTGCTGCGTCGGCGTTCGCACGAGAGTGCGGCTGCGAAACCACCTCGGCGACAAGCGTCGTCCGAGGTGTGGACGATTCGTTCTGAAGCACTGCCCTCGCCTGCCTCCTGCCACCGTGGCTGAGCTGGGCGCCCAGAGCAGAGCTGAGGGGAGGTCTGCACGGCGCGCAGGCCGAACGCAAGGTGCTAGCCGTTGAGCCCGCCCTCCGCGCTGACGGAAGACCCGTCGGCGCGCCGCCGAGCTAAGCTGCTGCGCCGCGGCGTGTACAGTCAAACTTGAGTCTGCCAATCCTCGAGGAGAATATATATATATATATACACACACATATATATATAGTACACACATGTATACTAGATCGTATACAGTATACCGCATACAATCTACAGCATACACCATCATATACATGCATATATATATATATACCTATACAGTTCCACGCGTATATACATATATATACACATATTTATATAGATAACTATATACACAGCTATATACGTACACCTCCACTGGATAGCTCTGCGACCTTAGGGGAAGGCGGCGGTGTATAGATCACCGCGAAGAGCCGGCGATTGTACACACCGTCGCCCTCCCCGAAGGCACAGGAGGAACGCACTAGCGGGTGTCTGGGGGTAGATCTCTGTGGCGCATGGCCGCCCCTGCCCCCGCCAGGCCACCGTCCCGGTGGAGAGCGCCTGCGACGACAGCGCGGCCCCGCAGGTCGTGGGCGGGAGAAATCTCCGTGTCCGCGGCCTCGCGGGGCCCGTAGACACTGGGCGTCGTTCTCGCGGGTGCCCCGTGCCGAGCGAGCGCTTCCATGCGCATGCGCATCCCTTGGACCGCGCCCCGGAGTCCAAGCCGCGAGGGCGTGCCGGCCGTTCCGTAAGGGGGGGGGCGGGGGGGCGATCATTGCGGCGGGGCGAGGAGCGGTGCACCTCTCGTGCTCCTTGGGCGCCCCCTGGGGCCCAAAAGGGGCACGGAAGGTGCGCGTGTCTTCGCCCCCCCCCCCCCATAGCGGTGCAGGCAGAAGGTCTCAGAGATCCGCGCAGATCTCTTGTGCGCAACGGACATCTGCTTGCCATCGCCAGGACGTCCACTCCCCGTGCAGTTTTCGGTGCCGTGCGTTCTCTGTTCGATCCTCTCGCGAGATGATCCACGATTGTCGTCCCCCCATCTAGGCAACCAAGCGTGGACACGGATTCTGAGATCCGACGGCGCGGAACAGTTGAGACATCGCAAAGAATCACGCCCGGAGCCCCAGACCCCATCTGCCTGCGTCCTTTTCTTAGCACGGCCGAGCTGTGAGGGTCCTAGGGCCAGAAACTGGGCGAAAACGCCCGCTGTGAAAAAAATGCCACGCCAGGATCTCAGGGAACACGGACGTGTTCGCCGCAACGAACATCTACTTGCCATCGCTTGGACGTCCACTCCACGTGCATTTTTCGGTGCCGTGCCTGTTTCTGTTGCCCCCGCAGGATGATCCAAGATGCTCCTATTGATGTGTCTCGCCCCACCATCCAAGCCACGCCCAAGCGTGGACGCGGACGCGTCCGCCGCTCATGTTAGGTCGGGCCTGTCTCCCGATAGGCATATTTTAAGGAAAAATAGAAAACAGACAAAAATGCTTCAAACAGTCAAACATATTCCATAAATCGTCCCCTGATCATTTTTTAGCTATTTTTGAATTTTCCCTTTGTAGAGGGACAACAGGCCCGGCTTAACGCTCGTGCGCAGGCGCAGGCGTTGGCCGACGCGGACCTGCTGCAGGAGCGGCCGCCCCCAAGCGCGGGCCCGCCCGGCCCTCGCTCTTGCCGTCCCCCTGGGCGTGTGGGTCCGCGGCCTCTTGCTCTGCCCTGCTGCGTGCCCTTTGCAGCTCCTGCTTTTGATGGGCCTGTTTTCCACCACCACCACCATGAGTTGGAGGGGGGAAGGAGGAGGAGGACGAGGAGAAGGAGGACGAAGAAGAGGAGGAGGAGGAGGAGGCGAGGTGGAGGAGGAGGAGGAGGAGGAGGAGGAGGACCGCCTCCCCCTCCAACTTATTGTCTTATTGTGGTGGTGGTGGAAAACAGGCCCGTCAGCTTTTTCGCTCCTCTCCCACTTTCCTCCTCCTTCTTCGATTGTCGAACTGCGGGCCTTGCCCTTGCCTCCTCCTCCTCTTCCTCCTCCTCCTCCTTATGCTTTTCTTCCTCTTCCTCCTCGCGGGGACTTCCATCATCCTGCAGTCGCGGGATAACCTTCTCCTCCTCGTTTTCTTGCTCCTTCTCCTGGTCTTCCTGGAGACAACAATGAGGAGGATACGCAAGATGTTCTTTCAGCGTCGCCGGTAGGATGACTTAACGCCACTATCGGACTTGATTCGGTGCACGCCTCGTTCTCTGTTATGGATCTCGCGGTGGGGCCCCAATGGGCCAGAAAGTGCGTGATAGCTATGGGTTTCGCTTTCGCTCGCTCGCTCTGGACTTCAAGCCGCCGACGTAAGGATCCTCGGAGGACACCTGTGTGGCCAAAGCTCGATACAATGTCTACAGTCTACACGTCTTTATATATATATATACATATACATATCATCATTCCAAGACTTGTGAGACAGATGTCGACGGAAAATTACGCGACCGAGGAAGCCAACCATGCATAGTTTAAGTGTCACGTGATCGCTTACCATGTTGTCATATATGCGCAAGCCAACGTTCTGAACCCTCGTCGCGAATGCTTCCCTATGCTTCATCTAACGCACCATAAGTCCCCAGCTGCACGCACGGAAGCGGCAGCTCGGCGATAGCACATTTCGGCGGCATCCCGTCGAAAGGGAATCAATCTCCGCCGCGCCAGCGCAGAGACCCCCGCGGCGTGGCGCGGAAACCACAACACTTGTCCGTTCAACTCGAGACAAAGTGTTGACAGTCCTGCTGTGGAGAAAGTGCCACGCCGACCATGCCCTGCGCAATGGCCTGCAAAGAGGCCGCGCTCAGGGACCACCCCGAGCGCGCCCCCTCTCGTGTCGAGAAAGTGCCACGCCTGCCGGGCCCTGCGCCATGGCCCGCATAGAGACCGCGCTCAGGGACCATCCCGGGCGCGGTCCCTCTCGTGTCGAGAAAATTGCCACGCTTGCCGGGCCCTGCGCCATGGCCCGCATGGCAACCGCGCTCAGGGACCGCCACCTGCGCGCCCCGTCTGGTGTCGAGAAAGTGCCACGCCTGCCGTGCCCTGCGCCGTGGCCCGAATAGAGGCCGCGCTCAGGGACAATCCTGAGCGCGCCCCGTCTGGTGTCGAGAAAGTGCCACGCCTGCCGTGTCCTGCGCCATGGCTAGAAAAAAGACCGCGCTCAGGAACCTGCTGCCTGCCATACTCTTAGCTCCCGCTGGTGGCCTGTGAAGCGTTGACCGACAGTCCAGTGCCTGACTTACCGCCCATGTGCACGCCTAGCTCGCACGCCTCCCTGGGCCCAACGATGGATAAGCCAGGATGGCTATGTTCACAGCGTTTTTCTCTGACCTGCGACGGCTCCGTGCTAACATTTGATACTAGAAGGGGCCTCCAATATCACCCCAACATGAGCCAAAAAGCGCCCAAGAGGGCCCCAAGAGGTGACCAAGACGGCCTAATAGGGCCCCAAGATGCACCAAGAGAGCCCCCAAAGGGGCTTCACAGATCCTAAGAGGGCCCCACGACAGCTTAACCCGGCCCCGAGACCGCCTCACAACGGCCTCAAGAGATCCCCAAGGCAGCCCAGAGAGGCCCCAGAGGGCCCCCAAACGGTCCAGCAGGCCCCCGAGAAGGCTTCAATTTTGCTTTAAGAGACTCCCAAGAGAGGCCCACTCCCAACCCTGGATTACTATGGGGACGGTCAGATAAGAAGTAGCTACAGTTGTATTCACACACACACACACACACTCCGTATGTATGCATGCATGGATGTATGTATGCATGTTTCCATGTGGTAGGTTTGTATGTATGCATGTACGTATGCAAATGTGTATGTACCAGAGTTCGTGTTTACAACGTGTAAAGTTTGTTTACAACGTGTAAGTGCTGTTCGGTTGAAGTTGGTTGGTTTCTGGTTAGAAATGCGGCCTAAACACGTGTAACGTGAGCGGCTAGAACGCCCAGAACAACCCATGACCAACCAGAAAGCAACCAGAAGTCAACCAGATGCACCTACATGGTGTCAAGCCGATCTCGGTTGGCTTGTGGTTCGTTCTGGTTGGAAATGGGGCCAAAACCCGTGTAACTTGGCTGGCGGGTGCCTGCCAACCAGAGGCAACCAAAAGCCAACCATAATCGTTAGTTGGCCGCGGCTGGCCGGCTGACTGGCTGGCAGGCCGGCGGGCTGGCGGGCTGGCTGGCTAACTGGCTGGCTGTCTGGCTGGTTTGCTGGCTGGCTCGCTGGCTGTCTGGCTGGCTGTCTGGCTGGTTTGCTGGCTCGCTGGCTGGCTTGCTGGGTGGCTTCTGGTTAACTTCTGGCTGGCTGGCTGGCTGTCTGGCTGGCTGGCTGGCCGTCCGGCTGCCTGGCCGGCTGCCTGGCTGGTTGGCTGGCTGGGCCCTGGTTGACCTCTGGTTGACTTTTGGCTGGCTGGCTGGCTGTCCGGCTGGCGGCGGCGGGACGACGACGACGACGACGACGACGACGACGACGACGCCGACGCCGACGACGACGACGACGACGACGACGACGACCGACGACGACGACGACGACGACGACGACGACGACGACGACGACGACGACGACGACGACGACGACGACGACGACAACGACGACGACGACGACGACGAACGACGACGACGACGACGACGACGACGACGACGACGACGACGGCTGGCTGGCTGGCTGGCTTCTGGTTGACTTCTGGCTGGCTGGCTGGCTGTCTGGCTGGCTGGCTGGCCGTCCGGCAGCCTGGCTGGCTGCCTGGCTGGTTGGCTGGTTGACCCTTGGTTGACGTCTGGTTGACTTTTGGCTGGCTGGCTGGCGACGACGCCGACGCCGACGACGACGACAACGACGACGACGACAACGACGACGACGACAACGACGACGACGACGACAACGACGACGACGACGACGATGACCAAACCACACTCACGACCACGACCACCCACGACCACGACGACGACGCCGACGCCGACGCCGACGACGACGACGACGACGACGACGACGACGAGGACGACGACGACGACGACGGCGACGGCGGCGGCGGGCTGGCTGGCTGGCTGGCTGGCTGGCTGGCTGGCTGGCTGGCTGGCTGGCTGGCTGGTCGGCTGGCTGGCTGGCGGGCTGGCTGGCTGGCTGGCTGGCTGGCTGGCTGGCTGGCTGGCCGGCTGGTTGGCTGTCTGGCTGGCTGGCGGGCTGGCTGGCTGCCTGTCTGGCTGGTTGGCTGGCTGGTTGGCTGGCTTGCTGGCTGGCTTCTGGTTGACCGGCTTGGCTGGCTGGCTGGACTTCTTGCCTTTTGGCTGGCAGGCTGGCTGTGGCAGGCTGGCTGTCCGTCTGGCCGGCTGGCGGCGGCGACGACGACGACGACGACGACGACGACGACGACGACGACGACGACGACGACGACGACGACGACGACGACGACGACGACGACGACGACGACGACGACGACGAC